GGGGGTTGGAGTTAGTTAGCTAGCTAGCACAATTAATGAGAGACTAACTTAAGTATGAACCTTCTAGAGTTCAAATACATGTAACTATATATATTACACATTTCATGAATGAAAGCATCTATTTTCTTTCCCGCTCTATTCTGTCATAATGAGATCATTCATTTTCCAATAAAAATGGGAGGGGTGAGTGGGTTGGTGTCATAGAATTGCAATAATCCTGTGTTCGGCTGCCGTTATAGTGGGACCCATGGAAAGCGTTTTTTTGGAGAATAAGGAGGGTGGGTAAGTTACTTATCCACCCATTGAAAATTCAAATCGCATTGATTCTTGTTCCTTACTTGGATAACATTTTGTCCAGCGAAATGCTCTATTTGTGAGTACCTAGACAACATTTCCCGAGGAATTACTTGCTTAGGGAAACGTGTTACCTAGATAACCAAAATGAATGAGGCTTCACAATTGTAGTCAAACTCTTCTTTTGAGTAGCTCTTGCCGAGGACTTCTATTGTAGGCTGCTTTCTCTTTTCCAACAACCTTAATGCATCAAAACAGTTATGGAGTGGATTTGCTGCATAGTTTAGAATGTTCATAAATTTCTTAGTATTTCTATGGCATATTTCCATTTCCATGAATAGCAACATGAAATTTTACTAAATTTGACATATTCTCCAATGATCACTACTAGCATTATATGAAGTACAAGAGATAATGTTATAACATAAATTGGTGACAATATTATAGATATGTAGAGTAGCAATGTTATCACTTGCCTAACGCACATGATTACTACTTTGATCCGGCTTACTCATTTAAAATATGAAATTAAATATTGCTTGAACTCATTCTATTATCTTGTCTATAACCTTAGTTTTTTTAACTTTGTTTAATGATTTGAAACAAGATAATAATTTAAAAAAGATGTGTCTATATCTCTTTTATCATTTCATAAAATATCATTTTATATTTTTGCATATTTTACATTGTTTCCGTTTATAATTTTTACAATATTTTCGACATATTTCCTATATTTGGATGACCGACATGTCGACTAATATCAATATTTTCAACCTTCATGTCAAAAGGTCTGTTTTGATATCAAATTTTAATGGTAAGGTGATTCACCCGAGAGAGAGAGAGAGAGAGAGAGAGAGAGAGAGAGAGAGAGAGAGAGAGACCACTTTGTGCAAAAATTTGCCAAATATTTTAGGACACGATCTAACAAGTTAGTGTGGAGGTTCGAGAGGCCACTTTGTGCAAAAATTTGTCAAATATTTGAGGACATGATCTAACAAGCAAGGTTCAAAATATCGATACGCCCGATACGCTAATAGGGTGTTTCGATACTTGTTTTTTACTTTTTTTATTTTTTTTTCCAAAACTATTTCAGGGGAACCGGCTTAGGACCCCTCCATCCCTTGAACCGGTCAAACCCCCGATACACCCACTGTAGGGGCATATCGAAAGAGTTCCAGAACGATATGTATTGGCCAATACGGGCCAATATGTAACGATACTTTGAACCTTGCTAACAAGTTAGTATGGGGGTTCAAGTCTATCTAGTCCATCCATACCAAGACTCCATATTGCGAGGACCACCACTAGGTAATTACTTTTTAACTTTTCTTGAATCAAGGCCTTGATGGAGTTAGCACCTGAGATTTATGGACAAAGCATCAAACAAAAGAAAAGGCAATTATGAATTGAAAGATGTGTGACTGCAATTCACGGCGGGTAGACCACATTCTCGACCTTAAATAGATGTCCTCCTAATATAACAATTCCTAAAGACTCATAAAAGTATATACCCTCTCAACTCAAACGGGATTTCCTACCCACCGTGAATTGCAGCCACGGCGGATAGGAAAAGTGAGTAGAAAATCTGGGTTACTCTCAACTTCTCAAGATATCCATGAAATACACTGTCAAAAGTAGGAATAATTAGTGTTACAATTTCCCAAAAGAAATTAAAGTTTTGGGTTTCTAATTTATGAATTGTAACAATACCAAGAAGGCTTGACTCTGGCAACTTAAGATATCCATGGCTACACCAAATGATATTAAGAATATGTATATAAAAAAATCAAGAAAGAATAATGCATGTTGTCTCTCAAGCAATTATTCACAGATGAAGGCTGATTAAAGAGCTCTTCTGCTTGTACAAATTCAGCATTCCAAAGAACTGATCCTTAGGCTATGTTTGGTTTGATAGGTTTCCCTACCTTTCTCTTCCTTTCCGTACTTTTTCCTTCAAACCAAACACAATAGCTTGGGCAGTGTACACCGGAACTGAGCAGTTTTCCTCAAATTCTTATTTGATTTATGCACAGGAACTAAGAGAACAGTTGGAGTTTGCATTTTTCACTTGAAGCAACTAACTGCTGACACTGACAAATAAAATAATTGGAGGAAGATGATAGTTGGTTAGTCTCTTTTGTTCATAATGAAGATACTAAAGCATCTGAGGTATGTTTACCAAAGCAATAAGTTGGGGGGGGGGGTGATGATTGACATATAATTCCTCCTAAGATTAATTCCTTAACATGACTACACTATATTGAAAGCCAATTATGATGTTCTGGAATCAGCATTCGAGTCTCTGAAGAAAGCAACTGTTCTTACAAACAGTCTCTGAAGGGACAAGCTTATCAACCATAAGTGAATGGAAGAACAACTGTTTTACCTTCTCCCCATTTTTAAGGCAAAGGATGCAAGCTTGACGACAATCTTAATAACGCTCTTCTTCTCTGTAGAAAAAGGTCAGATGTGTTTACTTTCTTGTGAAAACCTCCCAACTAAAGGCCTTAATCTTGCAGGGCAGCAGGGACTTCCCACAGCAGCCTTTGAAGGGTTGGAAAAGCCTACTTATTTGATTGCAAAGGACTTCAAATAAGGAAACAAAGGCTTACTTTGGAAGCAGTACAAATGCAAATATGTACGGCGTAAATACATACAAAATAACACAAAATATATGGTTTTGCACTCTACATATTTGCATTTGTACTCCTTCCAAACTCAGCCAAAGGAAAAGTAGCTATTACATTCAGGACTCCAAGGTCTTAACATCATAGGCTTCTAAAGGAACAAAGGTGTCTCTAAGACAACCTCACAGAAAAGAAACATCAACATTTTCAGCATCTCTTAAAACCTACCAAAATATAATTCCAATAAACACCCAGCTTCATTACGAGGCTGGAATCTTAATATTCCTTATCCATGAGAAAAATCACTGGCAGCGAAAGAAGGAAAATTTTAATCATTCTACCAAGCCTTCTTACTCAAATATAATGGATCTACTTTTTCCCTAGTTAAAAGTAATTGTGTTAAGTATAAAAGTAAAAGAAAGAGGTGCCAGCCTTGTATACAATGACCTTACGTGGCTAGTGGTCAAAAAACTATGTAAAAATATAACATGTATGATCCTTCAACAAAAAAGAAAAAAGACACCCGATGGTTCTAGGAAAAAGAATTCAGGCTAAAACCTTGCATTCAGATAAGATAGAAATCCACCAAACCAGTTACTTTTCTACCTTGCCAATGAGTGACTATATATGTGTACATTTTCTTTCAAACTATCAAATAAGAAAGAGGTGCCAGCTTATGAGTGACTCTATGGATCTACTCTTTTCCTACTTAAAAGTAATTGTGTTAAGTATAAAAATAAAAAAGAAAGAGGTGCCAACCTTAGCTATCTTTATATGTGTTTTGAGTTCTTCTAAAATGAAGTCTTTGTTTTGTCATAAAGTAGATTTTCCTCTTTCCTCTTTTTTTCCTTTCTTTTTCTTTTGACTTTGATACACATCTGATTAGAACTGTATCTTATTATGAGTCAAATCTGATCTGATGTGAGAAAAAAAATTCCTGCTAGCCTTTTTCCTTTATAACAATGAATACATGCTTCAAATCTTACTGCCTGCCTAGTGATGAACACCTTCAGAACTTACTACCTACCTAGTAATAACACCTTCAAAACATACTGCCTATCTAGTGATGAACACCTTCAAAACTTACTACAACAAAACCAGTATGTGGCTCAGGAATAAATTTCTCTTTTAACCGCCAACCAGCAATATACTTTGTGAAACTAAACCAGTAACAAATTGACTAAAAGTTGTTGGATGGGGATTCTAGCCATCAATTTGAAACCCTGAAAGCTTCCAAGTGGTCGGAATGTGATATATGTTTCATTTTTCTCTCGTGGATGTGTATGAAGTGCATTTGTAAGATCAAGTCAAATATCTATATGTCACATTCTATGATACAGAAATAATTCATACCACATTATGCAGTAACTTATAGGACATAAATAGCAATTGAATTTCAAACCTATTAGGYTCTTGCAGAACATTTGCTAATCAACCACCATAAATAAAAGAGCATTGGAAAAGCAAATCTAACCCAAACAGCAGTTTGCTCCTAACATTAATCTTTTACAGATTAGGTTCTGATTTCATTGTCTCACCATAATTTTTCTAAGATGCTACATTAATTTTTCTTAGCTATATTGATAGTTGTTTTCTCCTCCTCAATTTTCTTTTTCTCAGTTAAGAATTGAAAAGCAGCATGAGATCTTTAATGATTTTGTGAATTGTCTCTGTAACAATAGAAGAAGAGGATGAAAACTTTGACTGGCTAAACTACTTGTGGAAAACTTTGATAAGCGATGGCATAATGCTATGGACTACTAACACATGAATCATAAGAGTCTCCCATATGATGGATAGTATCAGTTTGCTACATCTTCCCATTACATGATAGAAACGGATAGCTTGTCTAGCCATCTAGGGAATGGCCTATATATCAACACATATCACACAGTGAGGGGTGATTGCTAGATAAAATACCTAACACCATTCTTATTCTAACACTGTATGGTAATTATTGACAAATCATATGAGCAGTCTGAAGTCTTAATTTTTTAACTTTAACAGGACACAAAAATTCATATGTACTACTCGAGCTACCAGTTCATATGAATTATCAAAAATTCATGCAAAAATACTAGCTAGCAACATCAGGACACAGGGTCTCAGATCAGAATCCATTTGAAGCTGAATGGCAAGCTATCATGCTGGGTCTTCAGGAAGCCAAGAAGAAAAATATTAAACAGCTAGCAATTTTTTGTGAAGCACTAGTTATTTTGCATATTTTGACCAGATCTTCTGCTATATACATTTGGAAACACAAGCTGTACAGAGACACAGTGCTGGAGCTTGAAGCCTTTTTTGCAATACGTCAAATATACTATATAAATAGACAGCATAATGTATTAGCTCACCAATTAGCGACTAACATGTAGCAGGGGAACCAATTTACTAATCTGTTAACCCTCAATGAATTACATGTATCATCTGTTAAGGAGATAACATAAGTTCTGCTCTTTTTGCCCAAGAAAACAGAAAAATAAAAGGGATAGGTGATTTTCATATCAAATTATCAATTACCTTATTTTCTCCATACCTATAAATAGCATTTCTTTTTTCACTTGCGATGAACATGGAAAGCAAGTCTTTAAGCAATTAAGGAGTGCTTGTAGCTCATCTGGACTCATTTTACTGGGATCACAAGGAATTGCTGCGATAACAGTAACAGAAGATGTGTTCGAAAAGCTTCCTCCTACAGAAATGGGAGCACGAGTAGTTAGTATTCGCACACTGTGCAATTCCTCACTCAATCTTCCTCCTACAGAAATAAAAAAATTCGTCCATGGCCTTGACAGAACAGCCCTTGTAACTTTCATCATCATTGACAGCGTCCTCTATCATCTCCTTCACTGCGCAGGCTTTCCTTCTTAGGTTCTCCCCTTTCTCAGTCCCACCCATCACCAATTCGATCACGCTCGCAATCTGCTCGTGTCCGACCTCGCAGCTATTCCCTCTTGCAACTTCAACGCACACCTCCATCTCCTCCTCCAACAGTTTTGAGTTAAAGAATTGCTCTGCAGCCAATGGCCAACCTATTATCGGCACACCCTGGCTCAAACTTTCCAGCACTGAATTCCAACCACAATGGCTAAGAAATGCACAAGTAGAATTGTGTGACAGAATTTCCAATTGAGGCGCCCATCTGCGGATTAGTAGCCCTTGATTGCTCTCTCTCATTCGTTCTTCGAATCCGTCCGGCAGCCACTCTTTACTTCTGAACTCCTCATTAACGTTGAATCCGATCGGTGACCTAAGAACCCAAATGAAAATTTTGCCGCTTGCCTCCAAGCCCTTTGCCAGTTCCATCATTTGGGAATGGGAGATACTATTCTGCGAACCAAAAGACACATATAGAACTGAATTTATAGGATGAGTGTCAAGCCATTTGACACAGCAATTCCTTACGGCATCATCTGCTTGACTGATACGAGGTTTGTTTATGAAGTAAGAAAATGTAGGACCAATCGGCCAAACCTTTCGGGCTGTTTTCCTCCTTAAATGTTCCAACCCAATCTTGTCCATCTCCTCCACAGTATTTATTAAGAACCCATCGGACATCAACGTGAGACGGGCATTTTTCTGGTTACAGATGGACAAGAAATCAGTACCATCAGCGTTCAGAAGAGCGGCAGAGAGCTGTGACCGGTGAACTCGAGACACTTCAGGGAAATCGGGCAACGAGAACTCGTCGGATTCCGTTCGCCGATGAGGCAACTCCAACCAAAGAGAGAAGAATATGGCCACGCCGTATGCGCTACCGGTGATGAACGCGAAATGAAGTATCCCCAGATCGTTTGCAACTTCGACAGTCCATCCGAGTAACATATCAGCAATTATGCACACATGAGGATGACCTTGTTGTTGAGTGATGTCGGAGATGAGGCGCTTGAAGGATGGTTTTAGGGAGAAAGAAGCATAGACGAGGCGGATGACGTGAGTGGGAGGTAGCAAATCGGTGTTTTCCGACTCCGGTGGGAGCCCATGATCTTGGCTGCGGAAAGGGAGCTCGACAAGGCGAATGGAGGTGCTTGGAGGGAGCAACGATCGGAGGTTCCTGATATTGAGGGGTGTGTTAACGACGGTAACGATGCAGCCAGTTCGTTGTCGAATCTGTAAAGCTAAGGCTAAGAAAGGGATGAGATGGCCTTGAGCCATGAACGGGAACAGCACTATATTTTCTTCTCTACCGGACATTCTGGTCAGTTGAGTTGTGTCGGAGAACTTCTTACTCCGACTCCGAGTGGGTTTCCTTCGTTTCTTAGATAAGATATATTCCAAATTTCTTTAACTACTTACTGTTTACATATTTGGTTAAAGCATTCTACTGTTTTTGACAAGTGTCTGAAAGCTTCCTTATACGTAACATTACGTGAATGGTAATTTTTTAAATTCCTAAAATATCCTTCTTATGAATTGTTCATCATTTCAACCTTGAAATGAAGAACAGAGTAGCGGTGACAATAACCCCTTTTTGCTTCCATGTATATCAGAGACAAAGAGCAACTCGGGAGGGGCGACCTATGATAATAGAGAACAGTAGGAAAAAAGAGGAGCGAAGCATGAATCCAAACTCACTACAACGATGTGGAGAAGGGTTTCTTCTCAGTTGGACTCTGGTTTCATGGCGAGCCACTCTGAAACTTGATCGATCCTTCATCTGCACCGTATCCATTCCAGAGAACTGTGGAATCGACTTTAGTGTTTTAAGTACTAAGAATTGGGAAGTATAGGATGAGCGCAAATAATTGGAAACTATACCTTTTCATGCACGATGTTTAGTTGGGTGGCGGGGTGGCTATCGACGTGAAAAGCCATGGATCTTGACCCCTGTTTTTTATATTGTGGTTAGAACTTAGAACAGGGGTGACCGTAAGGTAGAGCTTGAGGTTCCAAGTGACAAAACGAAAACAGTAGAGCTTGAATAACTTATTGCTTCAATGAATCAATGTTATTGCATCTACCTTCAATTCCACATGAACCAAACTCAAATCGGTGATCCAAGTCATTCAAAAGATCTGAAAAACTTGGATAGTTTCTATGAGACAAACTCCTGACTTTCATGACTTGGTTCTGCATCACCATTGATATTGTCATTCTCATCGTCATCATCATCATCTTCAATAAAAACCAGACGAGTGCCATATATATTTATTCATTTGAAGACCCTTAACAAATAGTTGATTACGCACTTCTATATAGAGTTAGACAATTGTAGAAACAATACGGGATACAGTTTTTTATCAGATGGGTTTTATTTTGAAAATACGGGATACAGTTTCTTAATAGGTAATTTAAGAAATTTGCCCTAAGATTTATTATCACTGTCAAACAGAGTTCACATCATGTGCATAGTGGTTGTAGAAAAAATCTCTACAAGCGCCAATAACAATCCACCGCATCATGAAGGAGAGGAAAGCTAATAGTTAATGGCCATTTTGGCCCAAAATGAATAATTTATTGTTTTATAAAAATTTGAACACCCGCCCAGCCGAATTTACATCTGCACCCCACAAGTGCCCCAATAGCACATCTCAATTGTGTATTAGGAGCATCTTCTAATGTAAAGCACGAGAAATGTTCCCAATACACGGTTGGGGTGTGTTGTGGGACACTTGTGGGTCGCAGATGTGAACTCGGCCTAGCAGTCTTTTTGTCATTATTTGATTTTTGATGCACTCTATTCTCCCCTCTTTTTTTCTCTCTCTCCTTGCCTCCTTCGCTCTAAACTCTCCCCTACTCTTCCATCCATCGGCAATGATTGCACCACTGGTATACACAATCTGGTTAAAGGCAGGTACTAGATTGACATGTTTTGAAAGTTTGGGTATTGAAATGTAGTGCTTTAAAGTTTGGGGACAAAAGTGGCACTAAGCCCAAAGTATAGGGTACTAATTAGGAATTTTCCCTTAATAATAATCAATGAAACATTGTTTCTACCCGATTGAACTCAAATTTGAAGGAAAAGTTAATCTCCTTAATGTGATCACAATTTCTGCTTTTCTCTATTAGGATTTACAAAGTTCTTGAAACTTTCTACATGTTCACCTTTTCCAAGGTTTTAAAAATCAACATAGAAATGGAACCATTCTAGCCACCAGTTTCTAGGTTAGCGGTTTGACCGTCTAGGTCAAACGGTTTAAATATTGTAACTGATGATATGTCATCTTACCCGTTAGATTGGAATGTTAGGGTAAAATGTATACAAATACAAGAGAAAAAGGGTTTGACTGTTTGAGAATGAGAGAGATGTGAGAAGTTGCCGATGACTGAGAGAGTTTAGAAGAGAGAGGAGAGAGAAAGAGGGAGAGAGAAGAAGAAGAATAAGAAGAAGAAGAAGAAGAAGAAGAAGAAGAAGAAGAAGAAGAAGAAGGAAGAAGAGGAAGAGGTCACTTACAGGTTGCAGCAGCGATGACGACGGTGACATATAGTGGAAATAGTGATGGCAATGATGACGACGATGGCGATGGCGATGGCGAACTACAATGGCAGATGAAAGTAGATTTGAGATTTCTCTCAGTCTCAGATCTCTCTCTCTCTCTCTCTCTCAGATCTGTCCTCTAGAATCTAGCCTACTCTCCTAGATCTCTCTCACTGTCTTACACATCCCTCAACTGATCTCTCTCTCTAGTAGATCTCAGATCTGAGAGATCTTCTCTTTTCATTCTTGCTCTAACTTAATAAACTGCAAACCATTCTCTAGGTCGAACCGTTCAATGGTCAAACTTTCTAGGTCATCAGTTTGTTGACTAGTTCAGTGGTTTTTGACCAAAGACCGGGTTTGGGGTAAAACAGAACCGATCACCTGAATGGTTTCTGGTCCAAACGGTCCAACTGTCCGGGTCAACGACGGTTCAAAAACATTGCAATTTTCTGCATGTTTCTACAACATTTTTGAAACTTTGTGCAAACTCTACATTTATGTATTAAGTTTTTTAGTCGATAAGTTCAACTTTGGCACAGGACGAAGTCAACACCTTCTTTTTCTACAACAAAATTTAGTTTGAATATCCACCAAGCCAATACCTTGGGTTACTCGGGAAACATTTAACTTAATATGAATTGGGCCCAAAGACTATTTGAGAGATGTTAACTGTGGAGACTATAAAACTTGATGTACCTTATTAGTATAGTCCCTGTTGCATATTACTTTTACATCTTATTCTTCTTTTCTCTTTCAGCCCTGTATGGGCATTCTTGTAATTGTACATATCTTCTAATATATAAGAAACTCTTTGAGGTGGGGGTCATTCATTCTTGACACCTCCAAGATTATTCTTCTTCTTTTCTCTATTCGGCCAAGAGTTTTGACATGGTATCAAAGCAGGTTGCTCTCTGATCTATTTTCTCGCTCTCTTGAACCTTACTAGAAGCAGTAAACCTGTCGTATTAGGGTTGTCTTGATCAACCCTTTTCTGTTTTTTCTTCTTTGCGTGACCAGCAGGAGAGATTTCTTTAGATCTCTCTTGGAAGACATTGGTTTGAGGCCAAACTTCAAATTTGGTGTCACCTAAACCTGATCTATTCTCCCTACAAACAACATCTAATTTGGTGAATTTTTCGAAGGAGTTCTGATCTTCTTCTTGGGGCAGCAACACTGTACAGTTTCCATTTTTGGACTACAACAACTTTGGACTTCAAATCTAGTGTCGCCTAGACCTGATCTATTCCACCTACAAACAACATCTAATTTGGTGAAGTTTTTGAAGGAGTTCTGATCTTCTTCTTGGGGCGGCAGCATTGTACAATTTCCATTTTTAGACTACAACCTTTTTTTGGACTTCAAGCCTTCAACATCAACCTGCGATTTCAGTTTTTCTCTCCAAATTGGAGGGTTCTCTCAAGTTCTCCTTAACCCTACACTTAGTTTCTGGTTTGGAGTTTTTATGGACTGCCTCAATCAGCATAAGATACCTCCCTGTTCATGAAGAAGAAATCTGATGTGTTGGTAAATCACAGATTTCTCTCAATCGGCTGACTCGATCAACTTATAACCCTAGATCCGGTGTTGTCATAGGGTTTTCTTGTCTCCCATTTATTTGATTTAGACTTCATATTCATATTTGAAAGGCCTTAGACTCGATCGACAGTCTTAAAAACATGCCTTTTTTGGACTGTTATCTTGAGTTATTGATTGCTGAATTTGGTTGTCTTTGATATCCTTGTGCCTAGACTGCTGTTTTCTTGTTGAAATGGCCTTCGATAATGGCAATTCTTTTGTTAAAAGTGATTCTTGGGCATCTATGGTTGAGCAAAACATTCAACAACTGGTAACATTTTTTATTCCTTCTGCTCTTTCTACTATTGGCTTACCTGGTGAGTTTTCCAGTTATTGTGATTCTCCTTCTCATATTTGGATCATTGACTCTAGAGCTATCAATCACATGACAGGAGCCTACCCTAACTAACCAAGTAACTTTACTAAAACCCTTCACAAACATATTTTTACTGCCAATAGTGAAAAGTTAAACATCATTGGTAGTAGTGATCTATCTCTTAAGCTTTCACCCACTGCATCTTTCTCTCTTACCAAGACCCTTCTTGTTCCTAATCTCATTATAAACTTGATTTCTGTTGGCCAATTAATTGATGAAGGTAACATTCTCATTTTCTCTCAAGATGGATGTTTGATTCAGGACCGAAACATTGGGAAGGTGAAAGGGAAGGGACGTAGGTTGGGCTGTCTGTTTGCATTGGAGTTTGAGAAGCCTCAAATAGAAGCATCATCAGTTTATTTCAGTTCCTCCACTTCTAGTACCTTTTTGAATCATAGAAATAATGTTTGGGACTTATGGCATAAACGTCTGGGTCATTTACATTCTGAAAAATTAAAATTTTTGTTTGATTCTGGCCTTATTAAGAATAAAGTTCCTTCCTTGCACACCATAGATACATCTTGTGTTTCTTGTTGCTTAAGTAAGAGTTGTACCTTACCTTTTCCTCACATATCTGAGCATGCTACCTCTCCCTTCGAGCTTATACATAGTGATGTCTGGACTGCTTCCATCTCTTCTCGGCTTGGATACAAATATTTTATGTCGTTCATTGGTGATTGTATTAGGTACACATGGATATACTTTCTCTACCACAAGTCTGAGGTGGTCCCAACATTTAAGTTGTTTCATGCTATGGTGCGGGTTCGGTTTCAATCATAAGTGTGTATTCTCCATTCAGATTCAGGAGGAGAATACATTGATGGAAATTTTTTATCATATTTGAAGGATCATGGAATACAAGTGCAACGAAGTTGTCAAGATATTCCTCAACAAAATTGTGTT